ATAATAGGTGGGCATCAACTTACCAGGCCCAAAATGTATTCCTTGCTCATACAAAGATGGCTGTAAAGGGCTTAGCGGTATAGTTCAGTGGTGCAGCACTTGATTCACAATCCTGAAAGCCTAGAATCAGCGCTAGAAAATGCCTTGGCCTTGCAGCCTCTTGGTTTGGGGAAGGAGCTGTTTGGACACAGCATGCTTGCGGAGCCTATTTTTCTTTTTATTTGTTTTTATTTTTATTTTATGTGTATGCGTGTATTGCCTGCATGTAGGTAAGTGCACCCGTGTCTTGCAACACCCGTGGAGGTCAGAAGAGGCTGTCGGATCCCCTGGAACTGAAGTTACAGACAGTTGTTAGCTGTCATGTGGGTGCTGGGATTCAAACCCGGGTCTTCTGGAGGAACAGCCAGTGTTCTTAACTGCTGAGCCGTCTCTTCAACCCCGACCCTTCTATTTTTTGTTCACAAGAGTTCAGCTGGTTCATCCAGATTAAGCTGCCAGTGGACTCCAGAGAGGTGACTAGACAGATCTGTAGGGACTTTGTGGCTTGAGTGAGACCTTTTTTTCCCCAGTGCTGTGGCCTCATGCGTGCTGGGCAAGCAGTCTTACCTCTGAGCTGTACTCCCTGGGGTGAGAACTTTGTTGGAATGAGGTGTAGCCAGAACAGAGCTCTGAGTCAGGAGGGCCTGGCCTGACTCGGGTGCACAGGCTTCCTCTGGCTGCAGGTGGCAACAAAATATGGGGACAGAGTCCAGGAAGGGAAACTGCTTTAATGGACTAAGGAGGGAAAGGACGGAGGCTAGGACAGAAGAGGGGATGGAGACTGCATACATACAGGCAGTAAGATCTGCTGACAGGTTGGAACAGTGGGGCATAAAGGAGACAGAGCTAGGTGTGTTGACACACACTTCTAATTCTAGCACTAGGAGGGCTGAAGCAGGTTTGCCAAAAGTACAAAGCCAGTATAAGGTACATGGCAAGACCCTGTCTCAAAGATAATAATAGGGACTAGAAAGATGGCTCAGCCGTTAAAGAGCACCAGATGAACTTTCTGAGGACCCAGGTTTGGTTCCTAACTCCAGTTTTCAGGGACTCCGACACCCTCTTCTGTCCTCTGTGGACACTATGTGCAGGGTATACATATGGATGCAGGCAAAACACTCATTTACATAAAAATAAGAAGGAGTGAGCTTGGGAGGAAGGTGACTTGCAATGCCTCTAGGAGCACTCATCCTCCACCTTCCAAGGAAATTATGAATAGGAAGCAAGATATTGGAGCCTTGGGTTCAGGGCCTTGGCTGGGTTGAAAATGAAGATTTGGATGTAAATAGCCTAGAGATGGAATAGAAAGATATGCATGGCCAGGCACAGTGACTCACACTTGTATTCTCAGCACTTGGAATGTGGAGGCAGGAAGATTATTCAAGGTCATCTTGGCTACACAGTGAGGTTTTTGGGTTTTAATTTTTGTTGTTCTTTTTTTGTTTTTTTGAAACAGGGTCTCCCCATAGCCCCAGCTGGCCTGGAACTTGATATGTAGACTCTGCTGGTCTTGCTCTCACAGAGATCAGCCTGCCTCTGCCTCCCAAGTACTGGGATTAAAGGTATGAGCCACCATGCCCGGCTACACAGACACACAGACACAGACACAGACACAGACAGACACACACACACACACACACACACACAAGAAAGTGGGACAGACAGGAGGGACAATATCTAGGACTCACTGTTGCCCAGGACTAAGAGTCAAAATGACAGAAGTAGATGATCACATGATCACATTGGGCAGAGAGTGCTATGAAAAAAGACAAGCAGCGGGGTTGGAAAGATGGCTCAGCCGTTAAGAGCACTGGCTGCTCTTGCAGAGGACCTGGGTTCGGTTCCCAGCACCCACATAGTGGCTAATAATCATTGGTAACTCCAGTTCCAAAGGATCCAATGCTCTCTTCTGGCCTCCACAGGCACCAGGCACACATGGTGCAAAGTATGCATACACTTAAAATAAATCTTTACAAAGGATTATTTTATTCTTTTTTTTTTTTTTTGGTCTTTTTGAGACAGGGTCTCCCTGTAGCCCCAGCTGTCCTGATACTCACTAGGTAGACCAGGCTGGCCTCGAACTCACAGAGATCCCCCTGCCTCTGTCTCCTGAGTGCTAGGATCAAACACATGCACCACCATACCTGGCAGAACAAGAAGTTTTTAAAAATGCTTTTAGGAGCTGGAGAGATGGCTCGGTGGTTAAGAACACTGGCTGTTCTTGCAGAAGACCCAGGTTCAAATCCCAGCACTCCCATGGCAGCTAACAACTGTCTGTAACTCCAGTTCCAGGGGATCCAACAGCCTCTTCTGACCTCGACACGAGTGCACTTACCTACATGCAGGCAATACACACATACACATAAAATAAAATATTTTAGCCAGGTGTGGTGGGTGGTGCACTTTTTAATCTCAGCACTCAGGAGGCAGAGGCAGGCAGATCTCTGTGAGTTCAAGGCCAGCCTGGTCTACATAGTTCCAGGACAGCTGGGACTACAGGGAGACCGTGTCTCAAAAAGACCAAAAAAAATTTTTTTTAAATGCTTTTAAAAACTACTCTAAGGGCTGGGTGTGGTGGTGCACTCTTTTAACCCCAGCACTTGGGGTGAGTTCAAGTGCTGCATGTATGTAAATGCACCCATGTTGTACAATGTCTGTGGAGGCCAGAAGAGGGCACTGGATCCCTTGGAATTGGAATTACAGATAGTTGTTAGCTGACATGTGGGTTCTGGGACTCAAACCCAAGTCCTCTGCAAGAGCAGGAAGTACTCTTAACTGCTTCAGAGTCATCTCTCCTGTACTTTACTGTGGTACTTTATTGTTTTGAGATAGGGTCCTGCTGTGTAGTTCTGGATGATCTAGAACTCTAGATTCTCCTGCCTCAGCCTCCTGAGTCCAACGATTATAGGCCTGTGCCAATAGGCTTGCCTACATGTAGTTTTACTAGCATGAACTCAGCAGCCTTATCAAGCCTTGGATGGGTGTGGGGTCAAGGAGGACTTCCTGAGAAACACCTGAGCTGGCCTCCAAAGCCAAGTACACAAACAAATAGGCAGAAATAAAATCAGAGAATTCTAGACAGAGGGCACAGCTTGTGCAAAGGCAGGCCTGAGGTCAGGACAGTGAACTGAGGTGGCTCAGTGTGGCAGGGAGGGGTGTGGCAGGAAGAGAATCCACATTAGTCACCATGGAATGATTTATCATCAGCCTAGCCCAGGTTTAGTCAAGGTCCTGCCACCTCTGTGACTCTGCCTGTCAAAGCCTCTAGTTTCTCTCCTGTTACATCTCACCTCCCACTTGGGTAGCAATTACCTGGTCTGGTTGGTACCAGCAAGCCCTCAGGCAGTGTTAACAGCAACTACAGTTTTGTCTGCTGTGATCTTGTTATATGAGTTGTTATCGTATTAATTATTGAAGAATCATGGCATTAAGGCAGCAGTGAAAGGGACAGGTAAGGGAGAATGGCTGCCTATGTTTAACCTCAATTTACTTACCTGTAAAATGGGGATAACAAATAGTATCTGTTCCACAGGGCTGTCATAAGGACACATCAGCTGGTGGTATAAATAAAGTAGTGAGACCCTGGCAGTTATCTGTCCTTATTACTTAAGGATGAACAAGAGTCTATGAGCTGAGGAATCCAGGTGGGCTCCAGGCAGAAGCAACAGCATAGGGACACAGGTGCTAACAGCAGCCATTTACTGTGTGTTTATTTCTTAAACCTGATAGGGGCCTACCCAGGGGGAACCCATATATCCTGTTGCTCAGGCTTGACATGAACTTGATCTGTATCAAGGATAACCTTGATCCTACCAAATGCCGGGGTTACAGGTGTGTATCTCCATGCCTGGTTATGTTCTTGTTTTACAGGTGAGAAAATCCTTGCAGAGAGACAAGAAGTCACTGTTTTAGGATAAGCAGCTATTGTGTGATAGCCAAGATTCAAACAGAAGCTTACATAGTCCCCAGGGGGGGGCGGCCAAGGGTCATAAAGCAAGACTGCCCTAGAAGCCCCCAAAAGGACCAGGGTTGGAGGCACAAACTGTTGGTAAACCAAGGGTCCTCCACAGCCAGGCATGGTGGCTCTTACCTGTAATCCTCACACTTGGGAGGCAGTGTAAGGAGGACTGCTTCGAGTTTGAGGTCTGCCAGGGCTAAAGAGTGAATTCAAAGTCAGCAACCCATGTCTTATAGAGCCAAATGAATGAATAGAGGGATAAATAATAAATAAAAAGAAAGGGGCTGGAGAGATGGCTCAGCGGTTAAGAACACTGGCTGTTCCTCCAGAAGACCCGGGTTCGATTCCCAGCACCCACATGGCAGCTAACAACTGTCCGTAACTCCAGTCCCAGGGATCCGACGGCCTCTTCTGACCTCCGCAGGCATTGCACGACACGGGTGCACTTACCTAACATGCAGGCAATACACATAATAAAAATAATAAATAAAATAAAAAATAATAAAAAAAGAAAGAATAAAGTTCCTTTTGGAGCAGACACTAAACTGTAACTGTGGCCAAGTGTTGGACTCAGGTAAAAAATTCATATTATAAGCTGGGCGTGGTGGCACATGCCTTGAGTTCCAGCACTGGACAGGCAGAAGCGGCAGATTTCGGCGAGATCAAGGCCAGCCTGGTCTACATGGTGAGTTCCACGCCAGCTGGGGCTACAGGGAGACCCTGTCTCAAAAGGAAGAGATTCATATTATGACACTGGCAGTGTCACTTCGAAGTTCCAGTCTCTGGTCGTTAGAATGGTATGATCTCATACCGTCAAGTACTGAACCTCGCGGGAAAACACGCAAAGTGGTGCCCCAGCGTCCACAACCCGCTACCTGGGGCGGAGCCTCCGCGCGCAGGCGCAGTCTGCAATGCCGGCTCTAGGACCGCGCGGACAAGTGGGAGCCCCTCGGGGTCAAACCCGGAGCTGGGGCCTGAGTCACCGGCCCCGCCCTCCGGAGCCGGACGCAGCGGGAGGCCCCGGAGCAGCACAGCCCGACGGAGGACCGCCGGACTTGTACGTGAGGGGCAGCGCCGGCACAGCACTCCTGCGCCCCGAAAACCCGGGATCCATAGTCCTCAGACCCGGTGAGACCCCAAAGTCTTGGCCCTAGGGGTCCTCGGACCCGAGATCTCCGCTCCGAACCCCGGGCCTACTCCACCCGGGTTACCCCCTCCCGAGGGCTCCTTCTGATCCCCGGTCTCAGGATCACAAATGTAAGCCCAGAGGTATGAGATGCACAGTATTCATTCTTTGGGGCGTCCAGAACCAAGTTCCCTGTCCCCAATTGCAGTGTGGGTGGGCGACCCCGTTATTCCGGATCCCACGAGCGCACCGCCGGAGCCACAGACCCAGCAGTGTTCTAACCCGCATTAGGTACTTCCTACACTCACCCTCCCGCCGGGGCTCAGGCCGCACCTCCCATCCATCCAGCACCCCAAGTTCAATTCTGGGGGATCTGGATCTTAGATTCGTGCTCCCAGGCACCTCCGGTACGCCTCACACAACTTGGGGTCCCCATTTGGGGAGTCCCTACAGGACCCTGCTCCTCTCACCCTCCACCCCGAAACCCCGTCACAAATAGCCCAGGCTAGATTCGAATCTAGCTGGGGGTAGACAGGGTTCAAGAGGCTGACCTTGAACCGATCGTCCAGCCTCGGCCACCCAAGTGCTGGGATTGGACTTTCGGCTCCTCTCCTCCCATCTGTACCCCTGCTCTTAATGATGCTCACACGCACCCTCAACCCAGGGCCAGGGCCCCTCAAGACTGACGGGTCTGAGGCTTGGTTCCTGTCCCATCCATCCAAGACCATCCCCTTGTCAGATGTCCAGACCCCTGGTCCAGGTTGAGGCTCCGCTCCCTTCCCGTGGCCTCAGTTTCTTCCCCAAGTCCAGATGCCGGAAGTGCATACTTTTGCGGGAAGGGCCGGGCCTAGGGCGCGGCGGCCACCTGACCCACCCCTTCTTCTCTACAGGAGTCGCAGTCATGTTCCTGGTTAATTCGTTCTTGAAGGGCGGTGGCGGCGGCGGGGGAGGCGGGGGTCTGGGCAATGTACTGGGAGGCCTCATCAGCGGAGCTGGGGGCGGCGGCGGCGGCGGAGGCGGCGGCATGGGAATGGGAGGAGGCGGCGGAGGCGGTGGAACGGCCATGCGCATCCTGGGAGGAGTCATTAGCGCCATCAGGTAGAGGGGGCCCGGAGGGCGGGGCTCGGATCGGAGGGAGGGCGGGGCCCGGAGGGCTGTGGTCCAAGACCCAGAGAATGGGTTTCACCTGGAGCCCTGGCCTGGTACCCTGAATTAGGCCTAGGCAGGAAGACTAGGGACCCTAATAAGGTTCCTTTATGAGGTGCCTCCCCCTTTAATGAGGATCTAATGATGACACTTCATGGGGCGGGCTTGACATGGGTGTAGACTTTTTCTTTTTTAAAAATATATTTTATTTATTATTTTTATTTTATGTGTATGAGTGTATTGCCTGCATGTATGTGAGTGCACCCGTGTCGTGCAGTGCTGCGGAGGTCAGAAGAGGGCTTCGGATTCCCCTGGAACTGGAGTTAAAGACGGTTCGTAGCCGCCATGTGGGTGCTGGGAATCCAACCCGGGTCAGTGCTCTTAACCGCTGAGCTATCTCTCCAGTACCCCTAGGGTGTAGCCCTTTTCTTTGGGTCAACGAGTGGGATGTAGTCTCCTAAGGGGACGGACCCTCCTCGTTTTAGGTGTAGTGACGATTAATAGCCCTCGTTGTTTAACCTTGAGAATACTATGAAAAGGGCAGAGCCAGTGAATCTGAAGGGCAATTTATAGCGCAGGACTTGACCTAGGTGTGGCCTGTGGTTTTAATAAAATGGGAAAGTGAACCCAGGAGAGACCAGGGCTAACTACTAATTAAAAATAGTCCAGGAGGGCTGGAGAGATGCCTCAGAGGTTAAGAACATTGGTTGTTCTTGTAGAAGACCCGGGTTCGAATCCCAGCACCCACATGGCAACTAACAACTGTCCGTAACTCCGGTCCCAGGGGATCCGACAGCTGCCTCCGTCTTCACCGGCATTGCACATGGGTGCACTTACCTACATGCGGGCAATACACACACATAAAAAAAAAAGAAAGAAAGATCGATGGATAGATGTATGGAATAAAGGACATGTGATAGAATATAGCAAAATGCTGAC